ACTTTCTATGCATTTTTTCTCAAACTCGTAGTTTGTCTTAGAGACAAAGCTTTGCTTTTTTTTTCTTGTTTTCCTTCATTATTTACATGTTTTAAAGAGCCGAAAGCAAATCTACTGACTAATCCACTTTTGCTGCCATTATAGGTGAAACTCTATTTCTATGTTAACTAAATGTAAATGCAGTGGGCAGTGAGCAACCCCGTGTTTGTGGCACATTGGAGTTTGCAAGGGCAGGGAAGAAGAAAGGATTTAAGACCAGGATGAAAAGGTTGAGACAGTGTGTAAGGGCAGTAAAGCTAAAAAGGAGAAAAAAGAGTGAAGGGGACGATCAGGAGATGGGATCAGAAAAGAGAAAAGGAACAGGGTCAGTGGGAGAGTATAGGAAAGTAGATATGCAGGTGGGGCGTACGGCAGCACATTCCCCTGCCACCACGTCATGTTTTTACAGTCTGTGTGATAAATAGGTGGATCGTTTTCAAACAGCCGGCTTGATTGTTGCTCTGTCATGAGCTTAGATCAGCTGCCATTTTCAGGGAGGCAGCCAGAAAATTCCTGATAGGATGTTTGGCTGTGCGTGCAAGGAGGATGTAGCTGTGTTACATTTGGCAGTGCAAGCATAAAAAAAAAACAGTCATTCACAAGCTGCAGGAGCGTGTACTTGCATACTGTGTGCGCACACCGCATGCTGTTATATGTACATGATTTTAAACTCGGCCTGCATGAAAGTCTGAGTTGCCTACAGGTGCGTGTGTGTGTGTGTGTGTGTGTGTGTGTGTGCGTGCGTGTGCGCGCACCCCGTGTGGCACAGCCTGCACTGACTTGTTGCTGAGCCCGCTACCCTCGGTAGCTGCAGTTCACTAAGCTTCTCTCACTCAAAGGTCTCCTTAGTACAAAAGCCAATGCTTCACACTCACCACTGGAATGTTGTTTCGCACTTACACAAACACACACACATATCTATACGTGCACACATAACGCATACACTTCCTGCATGTCCATACAGGCAGATATTTGCCCACACACAGAGACACACGTGCACACTCATCTAGAATAAGATAACCCTGGGGTGATTAGATTGAATAAGTACTGTAAAAACACTGTCATTGTAAACCATTAGAATGTTCACTACATGCCAGATAAGTGCACCGAGAGTGTAATGGGTGAATGTGAGTCTTGCCATGAACCTGACAGTTTCCAGTGTAACAGCGGAGGACGCTGGAGCTCTGGAATTAGCTTCCTTGTGCAGACTTGTCATGTCGGTGACCTTCTGCCAGAGGACAACATACAGTAGAATACCTATACAGGCATTCCTTCAGCTGATTTTTGGTCATCACACATACATTTCTTTTTGGTTACAGACTTTACAAAATTCCCACATCATATTTGTCTTAAATTTGTTTAACTCTCACCATATGTGCTGCAGGCCTCAAAGAAGGAAACTCTGATTGCAGGCTACTCAGAATAAAGCGAACTTTCATAAAGCTATACCTTGAAAAGACCGATTCAAGCCTAGCACGCTTATACGAGGAGACAACATTTTAAGCAAGGTGCGACCCCTGCTGTGTGTGATGTGGTATTGCTCCTCAAGAGGTCCAGATGTGCAGTATATTAGAGGTGTCCTGTGGAGCTGTCTCGCAAGCCAGCAGGGTTAGGTTTAGATTTAGTGTTGCTAGCCAGGATTACGATCTGCATCCTGCAGGTCTAAAAACATTTTTCTTTCTCACAGTTTACATCACTATTTACTTCTTAAAAGTCTTCCTCATCCCTGTGTTGAAACATTGATATGTTTTTCGTGGCACATTACCACCCCCTGTAGTTTAGTGTAGTAGTACAACACCAACTATATATATATTCACATCAGGACAGATTTTTAGAGTATCCATGACAGCCAGAACTTTCATTTTTATCTCGCCTACCTTGTCTCTGTGTTTCTCACTAACCCTGTTCTCTCCAGGCGAAGAGGAGCAGGGCTCTATGGCAGAGGTGTCCTACTACTCCTATGAATACGACCCAGACTCTGATCCTTTCCTTGCTGATGCAGAGGGAGGGGACCATTTTGATCTTCCTGAAGGCGGCAGGGGTGTGGAGCATAACGTGCTCCTGCCAGTAGATTCCCAGCTACCCACACTGGACACAAAAAACACCCCTGAGCGATGGTATGAGCTACATCTTTGATGTATTTGTTTAACAGACTTTGGATTAGTAGACCTCTCTGATGTTTTCTAGGTATCTGGAAGAGTCTGTTGTGGATATTCATCTTTGGTAATAATATTAAAGGAATAAAAAAGCAGTTGTACATCTCCCAATATTATGTCTCCACAGACTTCAGCAAGACTTTCCCCTATAAAGAGGACATTTAATCTCCCCTGTTCCCAAATGACACCTCGGTATATATCAATAAAGTGGTTTGATGACCATTAGCTTTCCAGTTTTTCCAAGGGTAGCTGCACAGGGAGAGACTGTCCTCACTTACTTTTGATAAAAACCCAGTCACTTTGTTTTAAAGGCTTCAAGAGTTACTCCTAGGAGGCTTTCAAGGGATAAAGAGTTAAAGATGATCCTTTAAAGAACATATGTTCTGTTTTCTTGTCATCTACAGAAACACTCCCAGAGTGAAGCCATACCCACCTCCGAATTGTACATTATTTGTGAATATGCTAGTGAATGGAAAGAGAAGAGAGACTTGCTGAAAGGATGACATGGGGGGGTCTGGAGAATGAGTGTTTGACCTTGTGTGAGTCAGAGTGGATGCATTTATAAGCCTGTGTGTGCGCTTGGATGTGACTGTGTACGTTTTTTATTAAGCTAGTATCCTCCAGACTTGTATTTTTCCTCCTCTAGACTCCTAGTAATCAATAGGCACAATATCATATTTGTTAATCACTGTACTGCCTTAATAATCACTAGAAGAAATAATCAAGTATTTATGTTTGTAATTACACCTGATGTTATGCAACGTATTTTGTTATATTTTCTATCTGTGGTATTTATTTTTAGATAGAGATCATATCATTTTTATTTTCTAAGTCGCCCCCTCAGTACAATCTACCTGCCCCTTGTGGATTTTTAAGATGTATGCTATACTATCCAAGGCATTTTTCTTTTTCTTTCATAGCAAGCTTTAACCCAGTTATTGCAATGTTTGATGAAATTCCTCTTCTGGTATCCTGCTGGAAAACAGACATATGCTAACCATATGCTTTACGGAAACATAAGCTGAAATGTTTTTCATTTTAAAGATTTTTGGGGGGCATTTTTGTCTTATTAGACAGCAGAGTAGAGATTGACAAGAAACACAAGGAGGCAGAAGGGGACTGGCATGCAACAAAGGCCTCTGGCCGACTCTGACTTTTACAGTTCGACCCAGCTGTAGTGTTTCTGAAACTATTCTGCCAAGATACCAGCATCTCCTCTCACCATTGAGATTTGATTGTACAGCTCATAAGCTATTTTGTTTTTTTGTTCAATTTTGATCTTTGAAGCAGTCAAGTTAAAAATATTAAAGAATAATAAAGAATGAAGTTTTGATTTCTGTAAAAGTACCAAATTTGATCAAATGTAACCCAGATCGATATCAAATATTGTGATTTTTTAAAACAAATGAGAATAAAATTTGTATGCAGTTTAGGCCTTTGGTTTTGTTACTTCACTACCTGTGTTTCTCCAACTGACTCACTGAGATATCTGCATCTGCAGCACAGTACGTGTCTCTTTTTTCAACTAGCAGAGCTGCAGTGCAGTTCTTTATGAGAGATGTGTTGCTCCATTTCCCTTAAATGGACGGTGAAGTCAGCAGTCAACTGTATTATACTCAGCTGTTTCAAAGGGCCTTCTGCTTTCACTCTCTTATTCCTTGTATGTAGCTGCATTAGAGACAGAAAGCATGTTAGTGTGTGTGAATTTGTACCTAACTGCATAGAATAGAATAGAATAGAATAGAATAGCCTTTATTGTCATTGTACAGAGTACAGCAAAATTGGAGTGCCACTCCCTTGGTGCAAGATTCAATAATAAATATAAATGTAAAATATAAAAAGTACAATAAAACAATCGCAAGTATTCAAACAATAGTAAATAAGATATATACAGGATAGCAGCATACTTGCACATGTTTGAGCCTTAATGTGTTGGTGTTATTTAGGTTGCCAAAGGAGGGCACCCCCAGGAGAGAGTTAAAGCCTGTGAAAGTTTAATGTTTGCTTACTGCACGTCACTTGTCGACCCTCTCGGTTACAGTTGTCTCTGGAAACTGGCAGCTCAGGCCTTTAAACCGAATCAAATCAACACATAACTGTGTCTGGAAAGTGTGCTTGGCTCGAGGTTAAGGTTGATAAATCAGGGGGTTGTTAATTCACTGTGTATTCCATCAGTTCAACAGGAGATGCCAAAATACAGGTTCATGTGTGCTGCACTACATTTGACTCTGGTTTGGGGTTTTATAGCGTGTACTCTGCATCAAAGCGTTGCTGTGCTTGTTCATTCATTTTAAAGGAAATCTCTCTGCGTTCGTACTTACAGAAATAATATAAAGCCATGTGGCTGCACTGTATAGAGATCTGGTACCGTCAGCAGCGTGAGGCCAAATTTGAAGTTATCAAACTCTGAGCAGTGACAGCTGATGTAGCTGCTCATTCTGAATGGAAAACTTTGTTCTTGTTGTGACAACGAGGCAGCGGTGCAGGGGACCAGGCTGCAGCAAGCTACCCTCAGCAGTCTCCGTGGCAACTGTACGCATGGCTGAAGAGTGATATTGCGTCTCCACGCTGTGATGAGCAGAAAGAGTCAAAAGAGAAAGGACGGAGAGGGGGATCTTGGTTTCATGGTTTGCGGGGGGAGCGAGCTAGCGTTACATGAGAGTGAATCGGAGTGATGACATTGTTTCTAAGTGCCAGCTGAGTGCACCTATACACCTACCCCCATGGAGGAAGGGCTAATGACCTGTCCAAGCATCCACTGATGAAGCATTTGGACAAAGGGGCAAACGGGCAGACAGAGTAAACCCTATCCAGGGTAGATCCTCCTCTGTTGTTGACACTTTGACAAGCATTATGGGTCTCAGGTTTCCTGATTGCTTTGGAGGAAATTGGTGATTGATCCTAGATCAGGCAGGGTTCTGGGTTTCTAAAGTCACCTGGGGCTTTGGTGATGCTGGATCAAGAGGAAGCACAGATATCTAACAAAAAAGAAACAGACAATAGACCAAGAGCAGCCTGAATGAAGGAATCACTTGTGCCTCTGAATCTGATGACTGAATTTCCTGAAGCCTGCCTCACTTTTAGCTGAAAAGGGACATTACCTGTGCAAAGACCCCAGTTCAGCTATTTTTATTTATTTATTTTTAAATGGTTTTACGAGCATATAATGCCCAGAGCAATCTGATACTTCTATAGAACCACTACCATTGCTGGACTCCTGAAGTAACTATCAATTCTGCAAAGAGTAAGATGGAGAAAAAATACCCAGTAATTGCTGGACGAGAAAAAGGTAAGTCATCGTGAATAATGATCATGGTTCTTTTTTTAAATGTAAATTAATATTTACAAATAAATATCAGTAGCTTAATATACTGCAGTTAAGCAGAGTGGGTCGTTTTGCAGTGGGCAGACCTGTCAGGACTTGCTCCACTCTGTGAAAAAAATGCTCCCACCTTGTTAGCTGTTTGACATAGTGTGCATAATAGTGTTTCATTCAAGGCTGAAAACTGGAAGGCTAATCTCTAAAATTCACATGAATATTAATTTGTATTGTCTAGTTATCTTAGGCAAAATTATACAGACCTTATTTGCAGAGAACCTTACATAAAGCTGCGTTCACAATCAAAGGAGCCACTGTCACTTTAGAATTGTCCACATGTATGATTTTTGTAAACTGGATGTAATTTAAGACACTTGTATTTTGAGGTTATGGCAACTTTGTGACATCTTCTGCTGTTTCAAGGGCCTGGACCTGGTCGCTATGGGCTTCCTCCCACTATTGGATTTATTGGCCATGACTTCACAAAGTCAACTAGCCCTGCCTACACTTTCCATGGAAGGATGACTGATAATAGTGAGCACTGCTCTTGCTTTATGGTTTATCAGAAGTGGGTACTTTGAGGGCTAGTTTTCAAGTTTAACTTAAAGCTAACTAAAGTTTTACTTTTTCTTTTTTTTTTTTGCAGATTTTTTTCTTTTTATTTATTCTATGACTAACTAAATAACGCCTTTTTTTCGTCAAACTGCTGATTTAGGACACAAATTAGCTGAAAGCATTACAGTCACCAATACACACATTTCACAGTAATTTATATCGTTTATGTCTTTGTTTTCACAATGATTTCCTCTCCTGTAAAAATGATCTCACAAAAATTTCCGTTTGGTGTGATGTCAAATTCAACCACTAGGTGGAGACAAGACGTTTTTCTTCACTTTTTGTTATTTTTTTAAAACTGCATCTACAGATTTTCAGGATCAAATCAAATCAAACTAAGCAAAAAGAATGAAAAGAAGTTTACTCTTTAAAAATATACATTTGTAATTATCCAATTAATTTTTAACAGTATATAGTGTTGACTCCAGTCCAGGGCCTCGGTATCACATTGATGCAAGAATCACTCGATTTGGAAAGGATGGCACACCTGCATACTCAATGCTGGGTAAAGTCAAAGCCCAGAGTAAGTATGCTTTCCTTCATTATTGGAGTTTATTTTAAAATTAATTGTGACATATTGTATATCAGTCAGATCAATAGATTAGTGAAGAAAACATGTACTTTTGACCCTTCTGGAGAACCCCATGTGATTGTCTTCTGCTCACTAGAGGAGCTTTTCCACACACCAGGACCCGGTGCATACAGCCCTGAGAGAGCCCCACCATGCAACCTGCAGCGCAGACCTCCATCCTACACCATGGGCTCTCGCACACACTACCGCAGTGTTGACTCGGTCCCAGCTCCCAACAAGTACTCTCTACCGCCACTTATGGGCGCTCAAGTCCCAAACAAGGCATCCAGTGCAAGCTACACAATATCAGGTGGTCTCAGCATAGGGGGACCATCTGAGGATTTAGCCAAGACTCCTGCGCCTTGCAGATACAATAGTACAGACCCAAATGTTTATCTGCTCCGACGGCCAGCGTTTTCCATGTCGGGACGTCACAGTTTACCCAGAGATGGCACCAAGAAACCAGGTCCAGGAACATATAATCCAGAGAAAGTTACAGTCCACAAGGCCCGGGCACCAGCCTACTCCCTGGGTATCAGACACTCAGAATTTGTTACTCCACTTATTGTCAATATTTCTGACTAAACAGTCATCTGAGAGAAAATTACATCATCCTTCAATTAAATAAAAAGAAAAGCAGCAAGTATTAAGGAATTAGCATATTTTATTTGTCCAGTATCAAAGAACTTGACAAATCAACCATAACGGAGAGCCAAATGTATATCAAGAAATAACATATGCACATAAAATACATACATTCAAGGAATTATCAAGAAATGTTTTAACAAAAATGTTAGGGATGTCATTGGTTTGAGCAAAATAAAATCATATGCTCATATGGCCATTTAGTAAATAGATCAGTCTTGACAACATTACACCTAAAGATAAAAAAAAAAATTGGTAAATTGTACAATTGACAGGCAAACTTCCACCTTCAAATTGTTTTAAGTTATCATTCACAGTGAAAACAAGACATTTTTGTCTCTCATAACCTCTAAAAACTGAGGAAATTTGAATGAAGAAACACAAAAATATATACACACAAAAACTACAGGGCATCTACACAATATATCACAACACATATAGATTTATGTGCAGGACAGATATAGGATCGAAAGACAATACATATCAGCAGAGGAGATAGCAGGTATTTTAACAGACAGCTTCCCCTTTAATCCTTTGGGAGAGGCCTTCTGAAAAGCAGTATGTGTGGCTCTAGGGAGTAAAGCAAGAAAGGATCTGTCAGCATCATCAGTAAGTCATCAAACACAGTCAAGCCTACAGCTGTACGTCGTCTACACCCAAATTTGATCGTGGCCAAATAATGCAGTGTAGAAGCTGTACAATGACAGATTCAATTCTTATGTCAACTTTAGCATAATACTCATATGCTGTTGAAAGTATATTGAAGGGGTTTCAAACACGGGGGCCAAATGCAGCTCAGCAAATGCAGAGCCAAGTCAAAATTTTGTTATCAACTTATTGAAATTGAAAAAAATAAGAATTTTGAGTTAGTAAGTCAAAATCTTGAGACAATAACCTGAAATTTTAGACTTAGAGCTTTTTATTGTCATTGTGCAGTTTCTTGCACAGTGAAATTGGGTAGCTGGACCACAAAGGTGCAAAAATAAGAAGAGAAAACAATATACAACAAGGGGGGAAATAAATAAGAAAATAAAATAAAAAGCAATATATGTATACATATATGCGAGTGAAACTATATACACATGCTGTATGCGTAAGAAACATTGAAACAGAAACATTGTGGGTCTGTATACAAGGGCAATTATAAAATATAATAATTGAAATGGTATGGATGTCAAAAAAACGTTCTTATGTTTGTTTATTTTTACCAACAATAACAAGGTTCTATAGGGTAATTATTAAATGTTTTTAGTCAGTAAAACACCTTGCCGTTACCAGCGTTTCTTCACATGACTGATAATTTATGGACATTTAATTCAGATTGCTTGGATCATAAAAAAAAAAAACAAACAAACACAAAAAACCAAACAAAAAAACCCCAATATTGCTTCTTTCCAAAAAAATTAACATTTAAATCTTCTCTAATTTTGTATATTCACTGTGATCTACACATTTTAATATATCTTCCTGGGAACCAAGGAAAAAAAGAATCTTCCCATTGAACTTTTTTGTGATTACCATCCTCTTTGGAGCTAAAAGAGGCCACCCAAACACATGGGATATCAATGGAAAGCCCAGAATGTCCTCCATTTAGTCCCTCAGGACTTAGTAGTATAGCTCAAATAAGTCAAAAGATATAGACCAAAAACAAATGCCCATTACAAAGGACATAAATGAATAGGCTGGTTCTCAGGAGGATGTGTCATAATGGTACTGGCTGTTTTTAAAACAAACAAACAAAACAAAACACCTTCTTGAAATTGTGCTTATTTTTCTTACAGTTTCTCAGGGTCTCAACCATCTCTCCTGTGGATGTACTACTTCTTACCCACACAAGATCAAACTAGGCTCTTATGAGTTTGGCCCTGATATAGGGTCACCATGAAAATCACCCTGATATAGTCATCCCTCTTCTTTGATACATATACCAGGAAGAGATCTGTTCATAATGGCCAATAGAATACACACCATGTAAAAAGGCTGAGCTAAAGCTAAAGGCTTCAGCGTAGAGTGAGCAATGTTATGGCCTGTAAATGGTAAGTGGCCTGTATTTGTATAGCGCTTTACACTACATTCAGTCATTCACACATTGGTGATGGCAAGCTACAATGTAGCCACAGCTGCCGTGGGGCGCACTGACAGAGGGGAGGCTGTTATAGCTTTTTTTTTTATAATAGCAACCCTGATCATTCCCTGGAGACGCTTTCCTACTCAAGTGACAGTAAACAGATGGTGAAATGTCTGGTTTAAAACAAAAAAAGAAAAGAGCCCTAAAACACATATTTGCTTTTACTGTGCTTCATAGTTTTCCAAAGGTTTGACAAATACACAGAAACGTGGTATTTTCACCACCTTAGATTCAAAGAATGATGACGTCAATTTGTAGTTCTTTAGATGCACACATGGGCGTCTGACTTAATTTTCAAGACAAGACTGAGGAAAATGTGAACTTATCCTTCACACCGTGATTACTGACCTGGTTTATGGATCATGTAGTGAATCCAGCCCTGGCTCTGTTGGACTCCAAGTCCTCTCCACTCTTCTTCTGTCATCAGGTGGGAGGAGGGCACCAGTTTGGACAGCTGCTTAGGAAGCACAACATGCCTGAGGATGGAAATATAACAAACATATTGTTAATTGCCTACTAGGGGTCAGACAGTTTATTTTGATATATTTTAATATCAACTGCTAACGCTAACACAAGACGTCTCAATTTACAGCGGCAATAAGTTATCTCCACCACGTTCAAAAGCTACTTTGACCTTAGCTAATTACTCGAACTAAATTAACGGACTCTTGAAAACGTTAAAAACACAATACCTGTACTCGAAGTCGTCATCGGTGTACTTGTCAGAATAGAAAATCTGTTTTTTCGACATTTTCAGTTGACAAAAGCAACAAAACTGAGCTTCAAAGAGCTGATACTGGATAATGTGAACCAAATATGTTCGCTAGCAGTATCTACAAGCTCAACGAACTACTGTCATCTGCCGCTGTTTTCTGGGGATGATTCAAACCCCAACGGTTACCCGCACTCCCCTGATTGGTCAAAGCAGCAGCACGCGGACTTAACAGGATCGTCTATTCAAAGAAAGATGACTCCCTCCGCAAGGAAAACACAAGCCTTGAGGCGAAGCGCTATCGCGATAGAATTTGTACATTTAACGGTATATTAGGAATGGCTATATATAAGATTTAAAAAAAAAATACGTTTTTGATTTTTTAAACCCAAGGTTTGTGTTGTATTTTGAAAAGTTTGTGGTCGTTTTGTCAGATATGTTGAGAAGTTGACACAGTAAAAGATCTTCGGCTCTCAATTATCTCTGCTACGTAGTTGATCTTCTGCAAGAGAGGACTTTTGACGTAGACGAGCCGACAACGGAGGGTAAACTTTCAGGAGAAAAGTACACAGGGTTGGCGATGTATCCACTGGGGGTGAAATCGTATGTATGATTCACTTCTATACTTTCTGTTCGACCTGTGGTGTATTCACAACAGCATGGGAATATTACGGAGCCCCGCAGAACACTTAGCATGACTACATACATTTTATTATTTTTAAAAAGCACTTTTGTCATAGAACACTGAAAGTGAATATGGCAAAAATATTTAGAAAAGCATCCATCAGCATTATCAGTAAGTGATTAAACAGTACAGTCAAGATGCAGGTCGTTTACACCCAACTTTCATAGCCAAATTGTATATATATGTTTTGTATAAATAGCCTTATATTCTCAGTCTACTAACTTACTGCGAACTCATTCTACATTTTAACCAAATAACAGCTTAAATTTTCTGTGCTGGAGGTACCTTATGACGTTTTGTTGTATTAGGTTGTGTCAGTGGCTGCTAATGAGTGGTGTGTTATTCAGAGCAGGATTTGTTCCACTTGTATATGTAAATTCATGAGGTAAATCCGTTGACTCTTGAAATACAGAGAAAAAAAATGTGTGAATTAAATTGGAATTGGTATCATTTGTAGAATGAAAGTGGAAGTAAGAGTTTGAGGAAATAACATGAACACTTTAATTTTATACATGACACTCAAGTGTTTTGCCAGGGAAAATGGGGAACAGAAAATACCGAGAAAGGCTACTGCATCTGTCAACATGCATCGATTACATCTGGTTTATCAGTAACTTTTTATACTCTAGCAAACAACCACTGCAGTGGTCATGTAGCAGCTTTCTCAGAGCCTGACACAGGTAAGATCCATGCTTCTTTCTAACTTTAAGATTGCAAATGTGTCAGTCGCATGCCTGTATAATCTATTATCTTGTTACTATTGTTCTGAATGAATTGGGCTGTAGTTTGTTTACTGTAGTTGTTGGTGTTGGATAAATGCCATGGTCTCCAGGTTCTCCAGATTCTCTGAAGCGCTGTAGAAATCCCGTGAATTACAGACCTTTCTTCAGCTTTTTGGCATGACAGAGTGTTGGGTTAGACACAATATATTTCTAGAAACTTGTTTTGGGGAATAGGTTTTCCTTCTGTCTTCTGTGTCAGTATCCTTTTTACTACTGTACCTGTTTACGTGATTCGACTGAAAATCATCGTTTAACTCGCTTTATGTTTCTCACAGAGAATCCTGACTCCTGATGCGTACCTTCTGTTGCCTTTGTGTAAGACGGAGGAATGCAGTTGTGAGAGAGAAGCAGGAAAGAGGTTGAACGGGGGAAAGGGAAAAAGAGAGAGCAGCTAAAAGGATCTTGCTGAGATGGCTGATTGTTCTCTTGGGAGACGGTTGGGAGGGAGATGGGAAGGGAATTCAGGCAGATGGAATAGGGTGGATGTTTTTAGAGATGTAGTCCCTTAGGAGAGTGGCTGCATTGTTTTCTTTGTGAAGTCTTTGCCTATAACCAGGATCAATTATAAGCATACATCAAATCATACAAAATTCACTTTAACTAAATGGACAGGAAATTTTCTGATATTCATCAACATCCAAACTCAATACCCTAAATATTTTAACTTTATATCTCAATTTAGCTAGTTCTAGAGCTTTGTTCTTCTGTTGCTGTACATTTGTGTTATTTGTTTTTATGCGATTTACAGTAGTGTTGGTTACTTTTTGAACATGTGAATTTAAATTAAGGACATTATTTTGTGTTAGTTATCAAAATGCAGAGACAGTTGAAATACAGAAGGCATAGATAAAAAATACACAGAAAATCCATAGATAAGAAAAATTCCAAATGATAATGAACTGACAATGGATGGGCAAGATGCTTCGGATGTTTCCAGCCTCTCGCCCAGTGTTAGCTGGGATCCCAGCTGGTTAAGTGGTTAAGTGGATGGATATATCGTTTTATTTCAGTCATATTTTTACCATCTTAAAAGCAATGCAGCCTTTTTTATAATCTTAATATCACTGTTTTTTTTATTGTCGGAGGTCAAATGCTGGCATAGAGTTCATTTGAGGAGTAGATTCCAAAATGTAATGATTACTGGCTCCAATTACTGCCTTGCTGAATGTACTTTATGTAGAAACACAGGTGCTCTGTAGTGTCAATGTGTACGTGTGTCTGGGAGCCGGGTGGTTCAGGCAGATGTGTTTTGGCTAATACAGTCTGAGAGCAGCTGGGCAGGGCTAATAGACCAATGACATCATCCAAAGAGAGAGAGAAGAGAGAGAACAAGACTGGGAGCACAGCTTGCCTAAGGCAGGGAGAGGGAGCGGGGCAGCTCAGTGAGGAGAGCAGCATGAGAGCGGGACAGTGTGTGTGTGTGAACGGGAGAGGACCAGACAGCATTCAGTTGACTTTGACAAGGATATAAGACCAACAAGATTTTCCTGCTAGTTTTCTCCTCCTCCTTCTTTGCACCTTTCCCCCTCCCCTTCCCCCCTTTCCCCTTTTTCTTCCATCCTGTGGCAGTTATCCCCACTCACAGGTCCTGCTTCAGGCGGCTACTCCGGGCATGCTCCTTAAGCCAAAGTATGACCGCTTTCGCAATGAGTCTGTGACCTCCTCCGACGACCTAATGCAGAGCTTAGCCATGAGCGGCAAAGTTGTGGCCACACCAGTGGTTCCCTCCTCCACGCCAAGCCTTCCTCTGCCTCCTTTGCCTCCCCTGGATCCCAGTGCCAGGTCCTCCTCTTCTGCTGGGGCTATGGCCTTGGCCGACTCTCCTTGCCTGGATGGGGAACAAGATGCCACGACAACCTTCTGCATGCTCATTCCTAAGATGCCTCAGTGGAAATTCTCCAACTCCCTGCTTAGCCGGAGTCCATCCAACTCCAGTTCCAGCTCCAATTCTAGCAAGGACTCGGGCAAGACAGCGGCAGCTACTTCCCAGGCCTCTGTCACGTCTTCTTCATCATCACACAGGCCTGGTGGTGGAGCCTCAGCCAGTGGCCCAGTGGCGAGCCTTGCAGCAGTGCTTAACTCCTGTGACCCGGTGTGTGTCACTCCTTGTTCCCTACAGGCCATTCGGGGGCAGCGAGCAGTAGCAGCGGCAAATTCTGCCAGTCCAGGGGGGCACGTATTTGGAGCCGCAGAGGTCATGGCGAGCCCCGGTGGCTCCAGCAACTTCAGATCGGGAATGACGCGCAGCACAAGGGTCGAAGGCATGTGGCTTGGGGGAGAGGACTTCAACCAGAAGGGCAGCTTCATCCACAAACCCTCTCAAGGCTGGCTGCACCCTGACAAGAAGATAGTAGGACAAGGAGCGTCCTACATTGTCAGGGTAAGCTAGCTGGCACTTTTTTATTTTCTTCAAAGAAATAAAAAACAACCAAAGGAAATATGCAGTAACTTTTTTCAGGTGCTCATCAATGAGTAAAGAGAACAAGATAATTGCAGAATATTAAATATATGACCCCACTTAAATATTCTCTGTCTGACTGCACAGAAGACAAAAGGACACCTCACTATCAGGCAGTTTGTTATGCAGCTCATGTGGGAAGACTGGGGAACACATAATTTAATCCAGATAGATGGCTGAGCGTTGCTCATTGGGAGACAGCATGCAGGCGTCAGGGTGGAGAGAGATAAACCATGAAATTATGTGTACAGACTGTAGAAAGGATTGTGGTTCAGCTGCACTGTTTACCAAAGGTAGAATTTATCATACTGTACTTAAACAATGAGAATCTGTATTTATAGAGCTTGTAACTTAGGTCTGATTGTAAGCTCCCACTGCAAGCTTGTGGGAGTGGTTGCTCTTTGTTTTGTTTCGGGATTGTTTACGTTCTTGTGTGCAATGAATTATTATGATTTTACCCATAAAATGTTATTTACAGCATCTCAGCATAGTCGATACCAAATGTTTATTTCATTATCATGAAAATATGCTCAATAAAGCTTTTTTATTATTCTGTAAATTTGTATCAAAATAAACTGATACATATAGAAATGAATGTGATCATTTCAAATGATATAGATAAATCTGAGTTTCAAAGAAATCTTGTTCTCAATCCGAGCTCGCTGTGTTTACAAAGGGCTACCAGCCTGAGCAGAATGCTCGATGTCCCCTCAGCAATCCCCCATAACTGTTCACCTCTGCCCCTGTGCTCTCCTCCTCCTCAAACTAATGACATGACTCTTGATTAGCCCAGACTGGGGCCCAAGCACGCTTTCTAATAACATTATACAGGCACCATTCATTCCCATATTCAATTACATTTAATCACAGTCATTTGCATCATATGATGTGGAAGAGGATGGTTGGATCTGTATGGGAGCAGTCCAAATGTCGATTACATATGAGCTCTCACAGCCAGGAAGGGCTTTCTGAAATGGATAACAAGTGCTCTTTTCATATCTGACTCATAATCATATTAATGATGGGACCAGGCTTTTAACAGCTTGTTGTTGTCATCAGAAAATGCCCTCTGACTATTGCAGATGACCTGAAAGAGCCAGTGTTTGAACGTGTTTCACGCCTCTTAACGTAGTACTTCAGGAGACATGTATGTGCAGCATGCATTTCAATGGGAAATCTATGCAGGGAGGCGTAGTCTCTGCATGTATTAGTGTCAGAGTGATGGTTGATTTCTGCTGCACCTTGCCATTTTTAAGCAGCACGGCCACTATGCTGAGCGACTCTCATTCTCTCACTCACATATTCATACATATCCACTCCTCTGCTGGGAAAGACACAAATCAGATTTTTAGCAATGCTCTTACTCGCTCTCTCTCCCTCTCTCTCGCTGCATAGCCACGTCGAGATCTGTGTCTGGCCTGCATCTGCCGCCTCTGCTAGTCAGGATTTTGCACCGACCATCAAAACACCGCTTCTGCTAAATCATTTGCAGAGAGAGAGACAAACTGTTTCTATTTTGTGTTTTTCACTTATTTCACTATCAAAGCGAAGCATAAATATTTGCAATGTGATTGCCTGTTGCTAATTGATGCAGTTTCTAGAAGGGTCTGTAGACTTGAGTTGTTGTAATTTTACTGTCATATATTTTTGAATATGCTCTGCGTAGTGTGCAGTTAACCAGGAATAGAGAGTAACTAATCACATACTTTTATCTGATCATCCTTTACTACATGGCTGTTTTGTTGTAAAATCTGATCACATTGGCTAATAAACTTCTTTTGGAAATCTTTTACAGTGACAAACGATATAATTTGGCAATTATTTATGTCAAAGACAGCAAAACACGGCTAAAGAGGACATGCTAATGTTATTAAATTTCTAAGGAATGTGTCTTGGAAAGTCTACGTCCCTGTAGTCATAGCAATAGTGTGCAAGAGACTTGGCCAAAAGGACAAGAGTGCAGATAGGGTGATAGAAGTAGGGATGTTGCATCAGTAGATTGAGTTTGTGACAATGGAAGCATTGGCAGAGAGAGGGAAAGAAAAAAGAGAGGGACAATTTCTCTGATGGAAGACGTCCCTCATGTCCAAATCTTGTTAGTGAGCTCGTTATGTTCTCTGGCTCAGAGGTCCCACTCTGTTTCTCTCTCCGTCTCTCCAAATAAGTTTCACAAAGAGCTGTGCTTTACATCCCCAATGCAATGTGCTGCATTTAAGATGAGTGTCACATGTTTTTAAGGAGGCTGCGATTCAATCAGTGTAGCAAAAAACACAGGAAAAAATGTTAATTATTAATATTCAATGTTGCATCTGTTGTTTTTACGTATTCATGGGTTTATTTACCTATGCAGCAGGAATGTGGTAGATGGTAGAAGCTTTTTTAAATGAGTTATTATCTCCGAGTTGGTTTTTAGAGACTGATTATGGCAGGCAAACAAATGCCAAGCAATTCGTTCACCACTTCATCTTTTCATGATAACCACACAGATATGCAAATAAGATGTAGAGGGCGTACTCACATGCTGATTGTTTACGCAAACACACTCACATCCCCCAGAGGGCTGAGAAGCTGCAGTTTATCCATGATTTGGAGCTCTGAGTGCTGCTAATCTAGTCACAGTGCCATTAGCACCCCAACCTGACAGGCATTAGGAAGCTGCTCAGCTGGGACCTTCCCACTGGAGGACACTACATTAATGGGCTATATGGGGATTTGATTTAGATTACTGTTGAAAGTAATCACATGTACCAACAGAGTATAGTCTATTGTGAACGTAACATCTCTTTCTGGAAGTGTTGTGGTGTAGTTAAAAATACAAACTTAATTTAAATGCAGCGCATGTTTATAGTTCTGTATTTTTGAATAGTTTCATTCAATTATCTTTTCAGATCATAAAACATATTTGAACATATCATGAGTTTATTTTTAAATTAAAAATAAGGTATTTAACTTAGATTTTAATGATTTTTCTCCCTTTGGTTTTTTCTTTACAGTACATGGGATGCATTGAGGTGCTGAAATCAATGCGATCCCTGGACTTCACCACACGCACTCAAGTGACAAGGTAAGCTGGTAACCGTCATATCTGACAGTGTAGATGTGTAGTATTAATTGAAGTGTGAAGAGTTTTTTTAAAATATATATATATATACTATATATAAATACTTTTGCTTTAGCATGGCCAATAGATTTACACTTGTCACATTAGTCTTTTTTGATCAAGAGCCACAACTTTGAATTTCAAGTTTACGTTGCAGTGGAGCTGTCCAATAACTCATGCACTTGCAAGAACTACATGCATGAAGACAGCAGTTATAGTGTGGGACTGTTAAGAGATAAACAGAGCTGCTGTATTTGTGTTCACTGGCATCAAAGGCCAGAAGGTTACACATTAAACTATGCCTCAGGGCCTTACTATGTCTGTGTCTTGGTGTTTTTATGCCCTACACGTCATGTTATTGTTATAAAAACAGGGTTTTTTGCAGTCCTCAACCTCATGGGAGAAGTCCTTTTCCCCACTCCCTCCCTGTCTGCCTCGCTCTCTGTCTCTCACCCTCTCCTCTCTCCTGCACAATCGATCGGCAGTAATCTGAGCCCACCGTGCATCCGAGGCTTAAGTGCAGGGGGGAGGAGGTAGCAGAGATGGAGTGATGGAGAGGGAGATCTATTATTGATGATGTTCGTTAATGACTGTAGAAAGCTGCAGTGGTCCCCATGAACGCACCCTGCTGGATAATGTCTGCGGCTGTAACTTCTTGAGGGGGGAGGAGGAGGAGGAAGATGTCCAAAACAAAGCAGCAAAACAAAATGTTTGCACTGGGAGTAGCCATAGAGAGTAAGATGGCTATGTCTGGTCTTGTTTTTATGTGACTGACTGAGTCATGATTATTTCCAGCAATGATGAATGTTTTTTGTTTGCATTCCTGTCGTGGTTGATTTTAAAGTCCCATTTAAGTGTGTTTACCCCTCGGTCAAGGTCAGAGGGGCCCTTTTCACCTAGTAGCTCACATAAGGCATTTTTTAAAAATTCAAAATAGGTTCAAGTCCTCCATGATGCTAACAACACAAGGCTTTTGTTCCTGGGTCTTTCCTTACTTTGTTTGCCAAAGTCGTGATATGTGTGTATGTGAATTGCTGGATATCATTTAAAGGCAGCACAGTAAGGGCTTACATATCCATTCAGAACAGGCCATTCTTCAGCTTCCTGACTTATACACAACTTGATTTAGTCCTGGAAGACCACAACGAAACAGTCAGTAGCTTCCAGTATTTCAAAAATGTAATTCAGCTCCAGGATTTAAAGAAGGTGCTTTCTCTTAACAGTCCTCTCTGTGTTTTTTGCCGTTTAACTGCAAAATGAGTGAAACGAGGTGCAGCATTTTATTGTAGTCGAAAACAACAGCTCATCTCTCCCCCCCTCCTCTGTCTCCTCCTCCTCCTCCCTCTGCTCTCTCATCAGCATGAGTCATTCGAACATTGTGGTGTTTTTCAAAAATCCCTGAGAAGACTTTTACTCGAGATGGGGCCCGGGACGCTGCTTTTTAAATATTTACGAGCCACTTGATAGGGGCAGCTAGGTTCTTGATTGTTCCCACTGTCCCCTGGCAGAGAGCGTGTGAGCTCCCGCCTCAAATCCACTTTATGGCTCAGCCGTGCCATCATGCTCACACAGGGACAGACCCTTTAAATGCCCATTAGGCAGTCATTCCCAGGAGTTATATCAGTTTTATCGCCAACTTGTAACAAATGTGCAGGGAGAATTGCACTGCAGAAAATAAATGCTAATGCTAATGCCCTAAAGAGGTCTTATACACTATTTACTTTTTATTTTCTTCATCTGATGCTGTTTATTCTCCCATACTTTGGGAATTTAAATTCCCAAGTTATTCATCAACAGATGAATGCTGTTATTGTTTTCTTTCTCGGGTTAACATTTCCAACATTAATGGATAAGAATGTTGTGACTTTCTTATCTATTTTCGTGACCTTTGAACTACGATTTGCCTACGACCTATGGGCTTGTTTGGAGGAAGGGAAAACGTCTGTTCATGTTTAACCTAACGTTTTCCATTGCTGTGGGGCGGCGTTTTGTGTTGTGACTCAGTTTTCTGTATTTTTGTACAGACAACACAAGTCCATATGATTTATACGTTATATAATATTATTATTATTACAAATGGCTGATAATCAGTGACCAGTATATTCGTCTTTAGTCTGATCTGAAATCTTTCTTCATGTTTCTCTTTAGGGAAGCCATCAACAGACTGTGCGAAGCTGTGCCAGGTGGAAAGGGGGCTTGGAGGAAGAAGGTTAACAGTAATTTATAATTCTAACATACATGCAGTACTTTTGACAAGCAGTCAATAGTAATTTTATATACACACAAGATGTATTAAAATAACAACAAAGGGTAGAAAGGACTGCTGCTGCTCCATGCGGCTGTTTTTCTGGTAACTAATATACAGTATGACATTTTTATCTGTATCTACAACTGAAGCTATATAACTGTAATTTTCATCGTATCCTTTATTTTGTAGGTTCCAAACAAAGCTCTGCAGTCAGTCATGGGGAAGAGTAACCTACGATTTGCAGGCATGAGCATCGCAGTCAATATTTCCATCGATGGTATTAATCTGCTCATTCCTACCACACGACAGGTTAGCTGATACTTAATTAAGGTGGCGAATGTACTTGCATGACCACAATGTGATTAAGACCTTTATAATGTGCCAGCTATTATTTTTGCATTTTTCTTTATTCCTATAGCTTAGCTTTACATTGACGTTAGCATATTTTCTCTTAACTGTTAATCACTGGGTAAAATATGTGCGAAATCACTGATGAGATAAAAAAAAATTCTTTGTTGGAAGTTTGTAGTGAACAATTTTACACTCCTATGTGAATATTATAAATAAATACCACTTTTGTGAGGTACAGAGTCAAACCTTTAACCTTTAATTGGGACTTTGCCCAGTTGTCCATTATGTGTAGATACAACAGGTTCATCGCTGGATTTAGGTGCCTTTTTTATGCTTGAATGAGTAATAGGCCAGAGTTAGGTGGCTAAACAAACAAACAAAAACATGAAAACAGTTAAAAAGCAGCCAATGTCCAAAGAAAAACTTTGAAAGATTTTCAGAAAACCTGGAGGGCTGTTGCTCAAGACCACTTTATAAGAATTCAAAGAAATTTTAGCTCCTTGGAAGCAAAATATGAAGAAATGAGGGGTGGGTCAAAACTTTTACACAGTACTGTACATTCATTGACAAAATAACGAATGGCTTCCTTTCTCTTTCAGGTGATAGCTCATCATCCCTTGCAGTCCATCTCATTTGCCTCTGGGGGAGACACAGTGAGTGCAGCATTTAACATTTACTCTCCATTAAATTGTTGGAATGAACATTTTGCCTATGCAAACATGTATGACTTGAATTAATCGTTAACAGTCTCGAGCTTCAAAAATTACTGATGGTTTTGATTTATCGAGCTGATTTTCCCCCAAACTGATATGTTGCAGGACACACCTGATTATGTTGCATATGTGTCCAAAGACCCAGTGAATCAGAGAGGTATGTTCTAAAAAGGTTCCCTTTCTCCTTCCATACATTTTGCCACTAGACAAACACGTTTATTTTGTAAGGCAAAATAAGTTGCATTAGAAAATAATGTCTGTTGTCTTTTTTACTGTGGATTATAACATTACTATTGCGATATCTATAGACATTTTTTCTTAAAAATGCTTTGATTCCACCTCTAACTGTATTATGTGGTCTGTCTGTGGCTTAATTACAATTATTATGAGTTTAGGGTGGGTGAGACTGTATCAATAACAGTACAAAATCATTTAAAAACAATATTTTATTAACAATATTGATGATTTGATTTTATCATTTGCATTGTAAACATTAGTATTTCATTTTTAAACATCACAATTATTTAAAAAAAACTAAAGTATATAAAATGTGGTAATATGCCGGTGTCGTAAACCAGTATTGTTATAAAATATCAGCCTATTGCACCACAAAATATACTTTGTTGGAAATTAAATAGCTAATAAACATTGTGTTTGCTGATGTCTTAAAAAATATTAATATTTTAAAAATCCACATATGTAGAAGCCAATAAACTATTGGCTCATTGCTGTACCGGGAGTTTGAATAGCTCGTGGCAACTTTTTAACTCCTCACTCTCTCTCTCTCTTTTTCTTTCAGCATGTCATATCCTGGAGTGCTCAGATGGTTTAGCCCAAAGTGTCATCAGTACCCTCGGCCAAGCCTTCGAGCTGCAGTTCAAACAGTATCTGCACAGTCCACCAAAAACCATGACATCTGTGGAGAGGTAACAGAAAGTCCTGCCACTTCTCACGTACTTAACTGGATAAAAAAAGATGTTAAGAGTTGTTGTTACTCTCCTTAAAATCAGTGACATCGGTGAAGCGGTGGGATAGTGACTCATAAATTATCCCAACGTGTCAAATAGAAAAATCTAGTATGTTCACTTCATGTAACAAAAGCACCAAAAAACACTTCAGTTTAAGACTCCCAGGACTGTATACATCCCAAGCATTCTTACCAGCAGCTGTCAGACTCTATAATGCAGCTTAACACTCTTTTGGTCATCTTACTCACCAGCTTGTTTGTTTACTGTACATTTTATACATATCTCTGTACAATTTTTATATTTTTCTATACATATTCTGTACATTGTTACCTGTATATACCTGTATATACGAACCTCGGTTGCTTGTGTCTTCCTTTTATATTTTACTTTCACTTGCTGTAAGAGCTCTGTAACACCGAAATTTCTCATCCGTGGGATAATAAAGGTTTATTCTATTCTAAGCATCCAGCAGAAAGAGCTTATCCACCACCAACCTGATCTAGTTTAGAGTTCTCAGATTTCTTTCTTATTTATTACAAGGAGATGTGATACTTTGTTCTTGTATTTCTTCAAAATCAGTCTTACAGTGTTGTAAATACATAGATTTTCTCACACATGAGATGCTACCGCAGCGATGCCACTGCAGTCACCAGAATAAGTCCAGACAAGCAGTTTGTTTCTTCCTGGTTTCAAATAAACATCTTCTCAATTTCGGATGTGGAGATGTTACTTGATCAGAACAAATCAATTTAACAACGCTGATTTCCTCCTCAAATTAATGCTGTAGCGTTAACATCATTATAGAAATGAATACATAATCATATTTGGAAGTCGTGGTTAAAATACAGTTTTTTGCTGTCTTTATTTGGACATGTAGTTCTGTTGTCAGACTTACACTCACAGTATATTTCTCCTTAGGTCTGCCAGGACAGAAGAACCAATTTGGAGGGATGATGAGGACTTCTCTGAGCCGGATTACTATAACCGTATTCCAGGGAAGGAGCCTCCTGTTGGAGGTGTGGTAGACTCCAGACTCAGGCCCAGTGGAACCCTCATTGGTCACATGCACACTCAACCACAGAGCAAGACAGCAGCTCAGGTGAGTGTCCTGACATGGCTATAGAAATACTGTTAAATCAGGCTCTGCATGTTGTAGCTCTACTGTAGCTGAATCCAGTTTTGAGGTAATTGCATATTGTGTATTTATATTTTTCTATTTGTACGGTGTATTTCTGCTTCTCCAAATTTCATCGAGAAGACCTCCGGTGCATTTTTGTGTAAAACTGTAAAACCTGCATGCTTGCACTACAGACTAAACTAAAACATCTGGTCATTATCATGAAGTATTGGATTAATGTTTCGAACAGAACTCTCTGACATCTCCCTCGTGAACTGGTGACTGATGTGTTTTCATGCTCCTGCCTCATATTGTTACATGGAATTAAAGCATAGGATCATGAAAATATACTCCATAACTGTGCCTGCAGCATAATTGCCTAAGACAAATACGATTACACGAAGAGCCTTGGGTTCTCTGTAGCCTATCAGGTGAAAGGACCCATTGCCCCCTTTGTTGCAACTTGTTCACAACAGGGTGACATGCTGCAGCTAATGTTTCAAATAGAGTGCTTCGAAACTACATTATGCAGGGACACGAGATGAGAGTTCTTGGTTATACAGATCCAGATGTATTTAGGTTGTGTTCTTGTGGTGTGATTATGTGTTAGCAGATGAGCTCACCAGCCAGGAGAGATCAAGCATCTCACCAGCCTGGTCAGCTGTGTTATGAGCTTCACTGGGACACGGAGACAACCTGCAGCTCAGGTGAGACATCCTGTGGCAGGGAGCAGCTGTAACAGCTAAAACATTGTGACCTTTTAGATTAGTTTTTATAATACAGTTGTTATATAGAGGTGATGTACTTAACTGGGGGGATTTCAAACAGGTTTTTAAATGAAGGATTTTTTTTTTTTAAATATATGAGTTGCAACGTTTTCTAGTCACATACTAAACAATGAGGATTGTCAGATTTGTTTTGTGTATATATTTATGTTAAATTGTCTCTGAAGGAGGTTAGTTGTTTTTTTTCCATCCTTATTGTATTACAAAGCTAATCATCACAGTTCTCATTGCCTGAGGGAGCTCAGCGTTTGCCCTCTTAATTAACAGAAATAGGATCTTGGCATTTTTAATAAGGCCCCCTTCATACTTCATATTGTTTATCATCTTTAACTAGACTGATGCTAGGAGGATGATCAAGATAGGTACGACAATTAACTTTTTCCTTTCAAAAATATAGAAAATAATAGTTAGACTTTTAGTAGTTGGAAATTTTAAGTGACATTTTGTGATTTTTTTTTCTTTTATATAATCAGTTGTTTCCGTTAGCAGCAAACAGTGCTGTAGCACGGGGCAGAAACTAGTGAATGAAACGCATTTTGTGCGCACCTTTCTGTCTTAGGTCTGACATCAGATGGTTATTTGTGTGCTGACGGTCAGCCTCCAGGCAGCAGAGACTATGAGGAGCATCAATATGTCAACACCCAGAGTCTGGAAAACCTGGATTCACTCACTCAGGGTCCTGATGGGCACAGAGGCACCAGGGCACCAGAGAGTCCCAAAAAGGATCTCTTTGACATGAGTAAGTCCCTGCCTATGACATCTTCGGACATATATATAACAGAACGACAGCCAGACTTTCTCTCAAATGTTTGATTCCCACCAGATTCCCTTTTTGACACCGTCCTTTTACGATTATCCACGGATCTTTTACTAGTTAGGCAGACCACTACACTATGAGGAAACAACAAAACCTTGTGAAACATCTCAAGCGCCTTTGTCGTCTCTGTAGGGCCCTTTGAGGATGCCCTGAAACTCCATGAGGCCTGTGGTGTTGGGTCCACTATATCTGGAGGCTCTGGTGCTGAGGGAGGAGTGGGAGGTGGTCGGGTGTTGGAGGATCAGTGGCCCAGCCCTCCACGACGCAGAGCCCCCGTTGCTCCAAATGAGGAGCAGCTTCGCCGTGAGCCCTGGTACCACAGCCGGATGAGCCGGCGAGACGCAGAAAAACTCCTGAGCCGGGACGGAGATTTTCTGGTAAGGGAGAGCACTACCAATCCTGGCCAGTATGTGCTAAGCGGCCTGCACCGTGGCCTCCCTAAACACTTACTGCTAGTGGACCCTGAAGGAGTGGTGAGTCTCTTAAGAAGTAGTTTCAATAAATCACACTGCTTATTTGTTTTGTTATGAAGTTACACTGGTGTACTCCTTTTGTTTTGCTTTTCCCTTCAAAAAAAAGGTCCGGACCAAAGACATGTTATTTGAGAGCATAACCCACCTCGTCTCGTTTCACCTGAAGAATGAGCTGCCTATTGTAGCAGCAGAGAGTGAGCTTCATCTCAAACGGGGTGTGAGGAGGAAGCAGTGAATTACCTGGACCTGTGTGGGACTGTAAGATAGCAGTATACACTATGGACTTTTCAAACCAGATACATGAATAATTTAAGGGATTATAATGCAGACGTAAAGCAAGGAGTGCATGCTAACATTATCATTTTAAAAAGCATTGCTATTTCTTTACATTGTTGAGGTGTTCAATTTGTCTTTAACTGCAAAGGGGAGGTTCACATTTTAGCATGTAGATTATTTAGATTCACACACTTGGTTACAATAGATCTAAGTAGAAATAATGTAGTATTTCTTTCTCTCTCGTTCTACAGTGCTAAATTCCTATGTGCCCATACAAATCACATAAAAACTGAATCTAGGACTCATTATGGGATGATTTTTCAACGGGAAGAAAGAATATCAGCAATACTTTCTTTCCATGGACAATCCTTCTAAGGAGTCTGCAGTATCTGATATATCCCTGTACTTCTGCTTGTTGACTACCAGGATAAACCAAATATCCCTCATCTGTCATAAACTCCTCAGCATGCAGTTATTAAGCTAACAAACCAACCAGGATCCACAGTCTGTGCTGTGCCCGAGCTGGATAATCACCAACCGAGGTCAAAAATTAAACTGACAACCTGTCTGGAGAGGAGCCAACCTCAGGAAATCACAAAAGGATTTAATGCACAGTGAAGAAAAGCCTGTAATTGTGAAGTTCTTCCTTTAAACCACAACTTGCATGACTAGTAAGTCACAGGTTATTCAAATCAACCAGTTGTGGGAATCACCAGAACAAACTGTCACTAATTTTCTGGTGCACCAAAAAATTCAAAACAAGATGTCCAGTTCGTCCAGTAGTTCATCTCGGTACAAATGCAGGAAATGAAAATTCTGCAACTGTTTAGAATGTAAAGACTGTTAAATGCTCATGTTCAAGGTCTGCAGTATCTGAATTTATAACAGCCACAAAGCCTTTATTGTTTCTCTGAGCTATTTTAAGCCTCACATGCATCAAAAAAAAGCATAATCATGATACACCGATTAGCCCCAACATTAAAACCACTGACAGGTGAAGCGCACATCACTGATTTACCTGGGAAACATTGGGTCCTGGCATTCAAGTGGAAGCTGTCTCGAGACATCAACCACATAAACAAGTTCCAAGTAACAGCAACCTCAAGTGCTTTCCTCAGGAACAGTTGCAGAACATGACAAACAGTGCAAGCTGTTGAAACAGCCCGCCTTCCTGCAGGTTCTGTTTTCGGCCACAAGATGGGCCAGAACAAGCCAATCCACTGCACCGACTCCATGCAAAGAGCCAGACAACACGGCGCACCCCAAAACATCACCTGTCGCTGCACCGATCGGTCAGAGCCGTTTAGGTGGAACAAGCGGGATCTACACAATGGATGCTTTTAATGTAGCTTTAGTGTATTTATCAGTGCAGTGGAGATCGATACATTGTCCTGACTGAGAAGTTTGATCACATTTGCTATTAAATCTGCTATTTGTGCTGTTTGTAAGGGCTGTTCATTATTTTAGGAAGTCATGTGTGGTAAAAACTCCTCCGCATTAATGCTCAGTATAGCCATGCCCGTTCTCCCCAGCCTCCCCCACTTCAGTGCCTTAATAACTACACTGACAGGCGTTTGTGTCAGCGTGTATATAATGTGCATTTATGCTCTTGTTGCAAAAGAACAGTTTTCTTGCCACGCCAATGAGTAAATGAACAAACTTCAGGATGATTCAAAGTTGTGTACATGTAAACAGTAATGGAAGCTGCTCTTGTTTTGGGGTGAATGAGTAATACTGTCTATGATGGTCTTAAATGTTATCGTCTTATATGTGTGTCCCTCAGAGTTTTTAAGTCAGAGGTCAGTCATAGACATGTTAAAGAAGGAGCTTAATTTTTCCCAGCTCAGGGAAGTGCATCACTTTATTGTCCTTATTCCCTGTCTGTACATTTTACTGACTTGCTGGTTTTTTTTTTTGCTCCACAGCGTTTCATTCCCAGTTTTGACACTGTAATACTTTAAAATTATTTTGTCTGCTTTCTGCCCTTTTCCCCCTCTCTGTTCTTGGCTACTTAAGTTTAATCAGGCCCTCCTTTGTTCTTAGCCTCATAAATGCACATAAAGATGAGGTAAACTTCAACAGTTTTTTTGCGAGATCCAGATCATTGTCATTCTTTTGTATCTCCCCTCAGGAATTTCCTGGACCTTTTCTTCTATGATTAACTGACTGACCTTTTGTTAATAAAATGTATTAAAAAAAAAGGTGGGTTGTCATTTGTGAGCATAAGTTTAACCATCTAACCAACAAGCAAAAGATCCATGTTTAGATCCCACCTAATAGGGCACAAATCCCACTGGGGTTGTGTTAGGAACGGCATCGGATGATCAAAAATGCAGTACAACTTTTTGTGAGTAAGGAAGCAGCTGAAAGTTGTTTACACCGTGTTTTTATCCTCACAAAGTATAAATGGTTGTATGCACGTATTTCAGGCATATTAGTTGGTTCAAATATTGTGTCTCTAGCTTCCTTAATGTATGTGTATAGCTGCTGCAGAGGGTCATGGATCAGGATGGCCAGAACAGCATGCTGGCTTACATACTGTAAAATAAGGACCCTTAGTGTTTTAAATACGCATTTGACATATTACTATGCATTTTTCTCGCACACTCCATAGTATAGTTACTGGAATGGATCCTATATTTGTGTGCTAATGTATCGGGTCCACAGTTAAGCCCAGAGTCAGTCAACCGACACTCTTTGATGGATCACTTTAAAAAGAACACAGTGAACCGCAGAGAATTTATCTTCTTTTTTTAATTAAAACTATTATATAAAAAAAAACAAATCAATGCATCTGGTATCGTCTAAATATTCACTCTGTCACATTCACATTCTGCTTTCATAAACTCCTCACATACTACACAATAAAGGCACTCCATGTTCCATTTTTCTATCGGTTGTTTGGGTTACTACATTACAAGCATGCAGCTATACCTGACCACAGATCAGTTGTATTTGGCTTTATACTGGGTACTGGTCCCACAGGCTGCTGTGATAGAGCTGCTATGCTGCCCTGTAGAGGGGACTGGAGCTGAGAGAAACTTGCAGATGCTCTAAATTTCATTGCCCCTCGTGTGTCATCTTCAGGATCTGGAGTAGCAAATGCTGCACCTCTTCATCCATGCGACCCTGTTGACAGACGATGATGCCATCTTGAAATGAAAGGTAACCGATACTGCAAATAGCAGTCCAAGATACTTGTATTTCCAGAAAAACAATGTCACCAACTAAACATTACAATAACTGTCCCATTTTAAGAGAGGCATCAAGAAGACAATTCCTACCTGCTAAAAGCATTAAAGGTAAGCAACTATGCAGCCAGCTCAACAACATAGAACAATAAATTATAGCTAGCACGCCAAAAGGTAATAACAAATGAACAATGAACTGAACACTAAAAATCACTGTGATCTAGATAAATCAACTGAAAAATACAGGCGGCAGCCAGTGGTACCCCTCAGGCTCCTATTAGATATACCTTTGGTATCAATTTGACATTGACCTTGAGGTCAAGGTCACTGAGATCTAAATTTGTCCGAGATTTATAGTAGATACACCTTTGTATCAGTTTGAAACTCCTATGTTGCATCATTCTGGAGTTATCACACTCATAAACGTGTGTGTTAGCGTTGCCTGCCTGGCAGGATGACTACAGTACTCCGTCTTTTACAGCTGAGGGTTAAAAAGTCAGAACAACAGGGTCAACAATGTGTACGCACCTGATGTAATTATACAAAGACTGCTGTTGTGTGATCCAAAGTAGACACAGACACACAAACAAATCCTCAACAAATTTCCATTTCAGTCCTAATTGTTGTGCATATGAGTGCACTGAACTGACCTGCACAGCTGCCAGTAAGTGTGAGCGGTATACAGTCACCACTTTTTTGTGCTTTCTCTCCCAATCCTGCAAAAAAAGGACAATATCATTATCATATTACAGTACAAATCTGTCTACAACCCAGTCAGGCCTTTCCAGTCATCAAGTGTAGATCTTTTAACTGTTCCCAGAATTAGATCCAAGTGCACTAAAAGCTGACTTCAGTTATTGTGGTTGTGTTCATTTGAATAAGCTCCCTGCTGGCCTCAGATCAATTATATCTATCCAAACATTTAGAATGAAAAACCACTCAAAACCTTTTTATTCGTCCAGACTTATGAGTACATTTTCACTTTGAATCTAATAGATCACCTGGAGCTGTTGAGTGAGGATGGCAATCCTATTCTGCAGAGCCATTTGCTGTCCAGGGTTACCATGATGGGTTGATGAGGAGGAAGAGGTGATTCCGAGAGGAGGCGAGAGAGCCCCCAGGGCCTCTTTCAGTCGGAACACCTCCTTTGACAGCTCTGTTATCTGCACACATATTGAACACATCACTTTTCACAACCTTGTTCTTCAAGAGCAGCCGTGAACTTCATGAACAGCTAGCATCTCACCTTGCGGTCCTTCTCTTTCACGAGGCTCTGCGATTCCTGGATGTCTTTGTGGAGTTCCTGGATATGGGTTGACTGGGCTTGTAGTTCAGCAAGTTGTTTTTGAACTGTGGCGAGCTGCGACTCTGCGACCTGCCGCTCACTCTTGTTAAAGAGTGCCTCCCTTTGTACCTGGAATACCTGCAGTAGACAAATAATACCAACAGTCTCATCCTGCCTCTTAATAAAAAAAAAAATCTCTGCATTTAGCCGTTTAGTTTATTATTTAAATGCAACAGCAGATGTGAAGGAAAATTCAATTTGGAGTGTCCCTAAAATGAGATTAGATGTACTTTATTTATCCCACATTTGGGAAGTTAATTTTTTTACAGCAATTAAAATCAATTAAATGCAAAAATATATAATAAAAACTTAAATTAGTAGGATAGCTGTATTGCTTTCTGCTGTTTTGTTATATTTTGAATTGGTAGTGCACAAGCAAATTTAGTACATGACTCAGATGGGTCATTGCAGCAAAAAGTACAGAAGTAATGGAGTAGGATAATGTAAAGGCAGGCAAGGAGGGCATCAAGGCCCACAGCTACTGCTGCTGTTGCAAAACAATAACATCTGAGGTCTCACATAATATCATAGACACACAGACCTCAGTGCAGGTCTTCTCGTGTTTACGAGTAAGATCGTTGAAACGGGCCGTGACGGCGTTGATCTCAGCCTGCAAAGAGAGCCGAAGGGCCTCGTGATCCTCCTTAGAAATCAGACCCTGTTCTGCAGCCTTCTGGGATTTCAGCTCTCTCAGTTCCATCTCCTTCTCACTCAGAGCATCCCGAGCTGCTGCTGCACCGCTCTCACTTTCCTGCAGGGCGTGCTGGAGCTCTGCCTGTGAGACGAGCCAGGATTAACTGAAGAGTTTTATTCCGTCTGACCATGTGTGCATTTAAAACAAACTTCTAAAATTTGGAAATTCAATATCAGTATTATTATTATTATTATCATATGCCATTTAATAATGTGCAAGATGGCAAGGTTCATTAACAAGGGATCTGTTTGCTTAAGAGTTGTGGTTGAATAAAATTAAAAGCAGAAGGAGAAGTCAACTAAAAGCACATGTGCATAGCTCTTACTTCTCTCCATACCTCAATAAACAATTTAAAGAAACTGCAAATGCCCATTTTATAATTCGTTGTATTTAATATTAAAGATTTTTCAGGAAAAAATGGAGGCATCATTCAGGCCCTGAAGTTTCATGCTTCAGATAAAATGTATTAATTTTCACTGCAGGCAGATTCACTCACAATTAGCTTTTTACAGAACAATTACAGCAACTTATTACTGTATATTGTGCACGTGAGTTAAGGTGATGAAAAAATGTGAACCTGTCCTTTAAAAGTGGAGGAAATGGTTTTCCTTCCATTTATCAACAAGCTTCTTCTGCTGAGTCTATATTTAACATATTTAAGAAGAGCCCGGCCTTATCAGCTACTTTTGATCACTGACCTTTTGAGCTGTTATTATCATATTTGTACATTTCTGCTGACCTTGACTTTCTCATGCTCCTCTTTGGGAATGGCATCCTGCATGGCCTGCAGTTTAGCCTCCAGTGAGGCAGCCTGCTCCTCAGCATGGCCCCGAAGGGTTTTTTCTTCCTGGAGCTCTTGCAGTGTCTGAGCAAGTTGTTCTGACACCGCCGACAGCGCCTCTTTATGTTTCGCAAGTGGCACCGTGTCCTTCAGCTGCAGGGCGTCCTGTGCCCGGCTCTCTCGCTCGGCGCACAGACAATCCAGAGCCTGAGCTGCTTCCTGCCTCGCTACTTCAAGTTCTTCTCTCACTGCTGCTAAGGTGCGTCTGGAGTGCTCTGATTGGACAGAGGCACAAATAATAACACATGAACTCAACCTGTGAACTAAATACAATGGTTTTCTACTCATGCAAAATGACACTGCATTATCAGTTGTACCTGATATGACTGAGGGCTCTGAACTCTCTGAATGCTCTTCCTCCTCTTCTTCATCTTCCTCTTCTCCGTGTGGTGGAGGTCTGAGTCTCTCCAGCTCCAGGAGGGCATCGTTGAGCCTTCTAGCCACATCCGCCCTCTCCCTTGCCAGCTGCTCACACTGGAGTCCCAGATTCACCTGCACCTCCTCCAGCTCCGAGCGGGGCACACATTTCCTCAGTTCTCCCTCTAGCTCGTGCAAACGCTCCTGAAGGCGATGGACCTGATCTCCATCTCCTGCTCCGCCTCTATCTTTTTCTGATAGCCTGCTCTCTGCCAGGGCTGCCTCCAACTTAGCAACGTTGTCACGTAGGCACTTCACTGTTTCTGTATCTTCTATTTTGTCTTCTTTCTCCTCTTCCTCTTTTGTAGACTCCTTCTGGGCCAGAGCAGCCTGGAGTTCCTTTACTTTCTCTGTCAGCTGTTTGATTATGTCACTGTCCGAATTGCTCTGACCCCCAGCCTCACCCGTTCTTTTAGAAAGCTCCTCCTCCAACTCTGTCACCCTGGCTCTCAGCTGCTCTGCCTCCTGGCTCAGGCCCTCCTCTGAAGCCCCAGCACCTGCTGCAGCAATATCCCCTATACCACACTCCACAGAAAGCACCCCGACACGCATCTGCTCCTTTAGCTCCTCCAGCTCAGATTTGGAAGAGGCCAACTGCTCCTCCAGCTCACGCAGCTTCTCCTTCAGAGCTTCTGTATTCTCTGAATCTGCAGCTCCTCCCTGAGAGCGCTCATCATCACTGCAAAACAACAGAGACTTGAAGTGAAATTAAG